CGGGTTCCTTAGATATGTAGATCTCATGGAATTTTGAATATGATGAATACGAAATCAATGAGTTTCATGTCCTTATTTACTTCTGAAAATTTGAGATACCCAAACACTTTGTTATTGAGAATCAAAGAATTGTAGGTTTTGATTCGATCAAGGAATTTCAGGTTCTTATTCAATCAAGGAACTTAAGGTTCTGATCTATTTAAATTATGAGAATCGAGAGACTTCATGCCTTGATCTTTTGTATAATACAAACTCATCATAAGATATAGTTTTTAATTATACATAAAGAAAAATATATCAATTAGTTGAAGTATGAAAATGAGCATATTTAACGTTAGAAAAGAGTAACGAAGATGCAACTAAAAAATACAATTATTTGAAATTGTAATAAATCATGCAGCAAACTTATTTCATGTAATTCATCCAATTATGATATACATGCTTATTGGGCCATGCATATAGTAATTGTTATTACTGTGAACACGCAACATGGCATGTCATGTCAAACTATCAAAACATTAAAAAAATCAAATGCATCATGAAGTCTCATGGCTGAGCTCAAAAACTCTAAACCATGTCACGACTCTGGCTCAAGCCAAAAAGTTAAAGAACAAATTAAACAAAGAAAGAAATGATACCAAGAGCTCTCGTGCTGATAACGTGTTATAAAACTAGGGGGAATTGTATAGAGCAATAAGAGGAAGAGAAAGACAGGGAATTTGTTCTATGAACTTGTATCAATTTATCTTATTCATCTTTGATAAGCGCCTATTTATAGGCTTACAATAGAGGTATTTAACCCACAATTTGTAGCTACTAATTACAATAATAAGGGCATAGGTTACAAAGCAATCAAGGGTGGAGGTAATGGATGTTATGGTGGTTATCCAAATTCCATAGATTTATAACAGATATAATAATATTAATTATACAATAATATTAATATTAATTTCCTTGTTAGGGCTATTCACGGTTCGAAAACCGTATCTTGGAGGAGTTGCCGACCACCGAACCGGAGGTCATCGGCGCACCTATTTTGGAGACCGCCGCCGCGCCGAGGAGATGCGAGACCGACTACAATCGGCACGCCGAGAAGTCGGTGCGGTTTGGTTTGGTTCGGCGAGCATCAATGGCAGAGGATTTAACTAAGATTGAGGGCTTGAGGACCACTTCCTGGTTGAGGGTATGAGGAGGAAGAAGAAGAAAAGAAGAAGAAGCCGAGGAAGAAGAAGGAAAGAAGAAGATGGAGAGAAGAGGGAAAGAAGAAGAAGAAGATGCAGCCAGCAGCTTGAGGACCACTTCGTGGTTGAGGGTATGGGGAGGAAGAAGATGCAGCTATTTACCCCCAAAAAAAAAAAAAAAAGAAGATGCAGTGGCGGGAGGAAGAAGAAAGAGGAAAAAGAATAAAAGATAAAGAGAAGGAATGACAAAAAGATGGCGAGAGAAGAGAAGAAAGAAGGGATGACGGCTGGGATGGGAGAAGAGAAAATAAAAAGAAAAGGAGAGTATGGGGGCTGGGAAAACCCTAACTTTTTTTTAAAATGTTCTAGATTGTAACAAATAATACAATTATACACATATTGCACAATAAGCCACAACAATCCAATGGTATTTGGGCTTTGTATTTGAACTCTGAACAGAGTTCGATTCTCCATCATTGCATTTGTCTGAATTTTTAGGCAATTTAATGGAATCGGTTCGGTTCAGGTTTTACCGATTTTATAAAATTCAAACCGGTTCAAAATCGGTTCATAATCAGTCGGCTGATTTTCCTGCCAATTTCAATTATTTTAATTAAAAAATCGGACCAACCCGCCAAAACCGGTCCGATTCAGCCAGTTCGATCGGGTTTTTGGTATAAATGACCATCCCTAGTTTAAACTTCATATCTACTATACACTCTCTGTCTCCTATCTCACATTGTGACATTTGTCCAAAAGAGGTGGAGAAGGTGTCGCGACCGGCGAGGTGGGTTGGTTGTCGATGTTGGGTGGGTGGTTGTTGGTTTTTTTTATATTTTATATTTTCAATTTTTTATGCTTAATTTATTAAAAGTTAACGATGTGTATTAAGAGTTAAGTTTGATTAAAAAAACAAAAGAAGTTAAGTGAATAGACAAGTGACAAAGAATTAGATAGGGGGCATTGTGGGTACAGGAAAAAGAGGGACAAAAGATGTGGACTTATCTAACAATGCTAGCAACCTTTTTTCTAGCCTTCTCTTTTGGACATTCTCCTTTCTCTTGATGACATGTGTCATTTCTTTCTCATTTAAAACAATATCATTAAGAGTATTGCTACTCTTACCACATTTGTATACCACATTCTCCTACTACCTTATGTGGTAGATGAAGTGAACATCCATATCAAATAAAAAGTGTCAATAAATCATAAAAGAAAAGTAAATGTTAAATTAATTTTAATTGATGTGGATGTCCAGCTCATTTGCCACATGAGGTGGTATACGAATGTGGTAAGAGTAGCATTATTCTATCATTAATTACAAAGTAAATTAATTATATTTCCATATCTGCCCTTAGTTAAAACTAAACGTTTGTATTGACTCTCTTAAGGTTCTCGTGTCCTCTCTCTCTCTCTCTCTCTCTCCTCCCCGCTCTTCCTCTCTCTTCTTCTACTCGCCAATTCTTCCCCTGAAATTTGGCCCCGACCCTACCCCTCTTCACCCCTCCATTCTCACCCAATAGTCACCCACCTTCACCCACCTCTAGTAGCCCAATCACAACCCATTCTTGCCAAAAAGTTGAAACAAATTTGAAATTTTGATTTACCCAAATTATTATCTTGAATTTACCCAAACTTTGAAATTTAATGATATTGCCTGATAATTTGAGGTTGGGGCATACAAGCCATCATGTAATCATGATTCACTATCAAATCTGATTTGAGGCTTTGAGAGCATGGATCTTGTGGGTTTTCGGTGGGTCTTCCAATAAGGAAGAGAGAGAGAGAGAGAGAGAGATGAGTGGAGGGACTCGTGGGAAGGGTTGGGTGTGTTGAAATTTTTTTTTTGGGTAGGTGTGTTGGGAGTGACGGTGGAGGGTGTGAGTCTGGAGGTGGTTCTGGGGTGAGGATTGGGAAGAAGGTGGGTAAGAGGGCAAGGGAGAAGATCATGGAGAGAGA